AATATCAGTTATTGGATTCCTTGATGGCTAATAATCAATAACATTAAAACCATATTGATCGACTCCGAGTCCAAACATCTGTGAAGCCCAAACCCTGCCAGCAAAAAATCCCCACAGTAATACTATTTATGAGAGCCAGTAACAGAGAAAATGATCCGATTTTTAACTGTCTGACGGTGCTTGAACTGATCCTATGTGATGTACAGTTATATTTAACAAAATCTAAGCTTAACGTTGTGATATTTCACCAAAATCACTTTCTGCTACATGCGCCATTTAAAAATTCACCAAAGATTAACAATTTGCACCAGATTCTGTAAAAAAAAAAACAAAGAATTAAGCGCCCAGAAGTAAAGAGGAAATCAGCTGCGACAAATAAAAAATAAATCTGTCGTTTTCAGCTGAACTGCAGGCTGTGTTTAATCAGAGCACAAAGAAACTAGTGTGAAAACTAATTAGAGCGACTAAAAGCAAAATGAAACACACTTGATCAATAACAGAAATGGTTCAAAAATAGTTTACAGAGGAGCAAAGTGTCAGCAAGTTATCAGAAGACACACTCAGCATGGTGAAATATCGTTTTTCTAGAGATGATGTACAGAATAAATAAATAACCAAAGAAATCCAACTTTGTTATACTGCACACAACAGACACTCCTGAGTTGCCCCGAGCCACAGTTGTGCTGTTTCAATAACGCTGCAGGACCTATAATAAGCCCAAACCTGCCAGAAACTGCTTTGGGGTTCAGAGGGAATTGAAATGTCTTTTAAGCCAAATGTTGTTACGCTGTGAGAGGTGAACGCCTGCCTGGATTTCAAACTTACAACTACGGAGTGAATAAAAGATGAGGCAAAGAGAGCCTTCACTCCGTTCTCCACCAGAACTCCAGCCCAGTTCATCATGGCCCAGTACTGTAAGTAGTCGTGGCCACCGTGCCAGAGGCAGACGAACCCAAACGCCAGGCCGGTGGATAACATTTTGAACAGAGGACCATGTCGGGAACCTCCCAGCGGCACGTAGATGTATCTGAAAAACCAGCACATAGCAGCAAAAAAAAGAAGTAATTCAGAGCCAGTAGGATAAATAAAACGTTACAGCATCATAACCTGGAGAACAATAGCAAGTAAAGGATCATTATTTGTTCCTTTTGTGGGACAGGGAATGCAGTGAATGGTGAGGATGTAAAACAAAAGGCGGTTAAAAATGGCACCACAATGCACTGATGAATAGCAAAGAGCGCCTGTCACAGAATGATCGTGTCATCGATTTGTGATTTATGAAATAAACGCGGCTCTGACGTCCACTGCAGAAATAGAGGCTCTCTGGGGAATATCAATCCTGCTAAGTTGTTGGAACTGGGTTAATGATTCCAAAGTGTTTTTTTTTTTTTATGATTCACACCAACAAACCCTTGACGGGCGGTTAACCCATTTCTAAGTCAAATTGATTTCACTGCTAACACCTCGACTGACTCAACCTTCATCAGCATATCGGGGAATAAACTGTTAAATGAAACACCGATATTTATCATGAGGTGCAACATCCAGCTTACATGTTTTTTTGCAATGGTCTAAATGAGATTACATTGTACGGGGGATAAAAATAGCTGCATGTGATTGCCCAATTGAAGTGCATAATATCCCACCGATCGCTAACAAACGTGGCGCGTGTCGTGATGAAAAATGGCCTCAGATATTGTGAGAACCTCGTCCGTCCCAGAGGTACTGACAGAGTCTGAACATGCTACATCACTCCAACACACTTAACAAACATCCCATTGTGTGCAGTGTTGCTGAGCTGGGAACTAATTATCTCAGCCACCCTGTGGCTAATCAATGTTCCTGAAAGATGAGCCAGCGTTTTGTGAGCCTTAAATAGAGTGGCCAGCTCGGCCATATTGGAGGATGAAAGTAGGTGCAAGAACAGATGGAGAGGTAGCAGAGTGTTCGAGCAAGAGCAAAGCGAATACCTGAACACACCCCAGCATCTCTGCACCCATTTAATTTATTTAAATGTGGACGGATTCTGAGCAGATGTTAATCAAAATATGATAATTCTGAGATATACATTAATACCTGAATAATCAATGTGTTACTTCAAGCAGATGGTGCAAACACCATGCTGACAGGCTTCATAGACTGTCAGAAGGAGTTAGACAGTCTGGAGGATATTACAGTTGATGCCTGTGCTCTTGTGGAGATCTGTTTTGCTTTAAATGGAATCAAAACCAAAGTTAAACGCTGACCTCCCACCGAACCCGACCTCTGGCCCCCACTTTAATATTTGCAACTAATACTTCCCAGGACGTGGGATCAAACGCTCCTTCTCATATGTAGCTGCAATAACTCAATCAATCACCCGGTAAGAGCTCTTTTGTTGGCCGATAACTGAATGTGAGTGAAACAGAGAACCTGAGACTCAGCGGCGTGCAGGCAGGCAAAGCGTAATGGAATGGCGAAGAATGAGCCACTTAGCTGCCCAGGGAGACGGGGTGTCAGTGAGTCATGCAGAGCACATCATTTAACACCTACGCACTCATCTAACGCTCTTCTGACAATTTCAACAGAATTTCAGAACTGCATTAAAACCTCTTTAAAAGCACTTTTGCAAGAAGGAACGCCGGGGCATTGTGTCACGGGTATCGTTTTGCATCTGCAGCAGGATAATTGCAAGTGATGCCATTAAGCAGGAGAAAACAATTTCCAATGGACACGGATTAAAATGGAAACTTGCATTTGCAATTTAAATGCTGGGATCTTTAGCAAATTAATTGGAGCCACTTTAACTGGCATTTTTTTTCATAACATCTGAAGAGCAGATGCATGTGTACACCGTCACACTGCAAGGTGTCACAAAAAAAAAAACCCAAACTGTCAACACAAAACACTAATTAGCAAATAATAACCAAGACAGGGAACATTTTCACATAATATCACAGCGTGTTGTCTGACAACCGTGCAACTGTTGTGTTGCCGTAATGTAGCAACCGGCATCTAGCGAGCAGACCATAAACTCCCGATAGGCTGCATTCAGCCGAGTGTGCATCATTAAAAGCAAACGAACTAATAATGTGCGTTGTCCAAAGTACAAGTGAGCAAACACATAATGCTCCCATTACATATGCACATATTAAACAAGGAGGCATTTCTCCAGGGTGCAGCAGCAGCAGAAGAACTATTCACCAACAACATGCAACCTCATAATCATGAGAAAGACTACATGCAAATGCAGCATCCTCGTCCATTATGATGAAACACGCAGACGATCAGCGAGAGAATGGCACCTTTTCTTTTAAGGTTGTTCAGCTGACAAATTCAGTTTACCGCCGGAAATTAGCACTTTAAGTGGGCAATAAATAAGAACTAGAGCATGCTGCTGTTCCAAATATAGAAAGACAGACTGATGGACAGATATGCTGTGAAAATAAATAAATAAGATGTTTTACAGATTTTGTCTGTACTTTTGAAACACAAAAAAATATGAATACAATCACATGTCCAATGTAAAAATTATTTTCTTTATTTATTCCATCTCCTTTTGCACTGTTTCAAAATCTGATTTATTTATTTTGCTTTTTTTTTTTATCCCTTTCTCTCTCTTCCCTTATATATGTACATATTTATTGATTTTTTGTGTGTTTATTCTTTATTTTTATTCATCCTCTTAATATTGTTTCGGTGTGGAACAGGTACGCAAAGCATTTCACTGCGCGTTATACCGTGTATAACTGTGTTTGTGACCAATAAAGGCCTTGAATCCTTGAAATAGCACCATAAATGTATACGTTAGAAAGACCATAAAATGACCCCTTTAAAAAAAAAAGAAGAAAAAAAAAATGTCATAAAAAGATTGTTAAAATACAAATACAATATTTATCACAATTCAACAAATATTTCCTTTTTATTTATTTGGGTAAAACTGGTAAATTCAAGTTTCATATTTAAAATTATTTCTTAAATTAGATACTTTTTCACTGAAAAAGAAGTTTTGAATATATTAAGATGTCTCGTATAATTACAGAAAGTTTTCATCAGTGTTTAATACCAATGAGCCTTGCTCAATTATCAAAATACAGTATTACCCATTGGAAACAGTGACAACTACTGCAGCAGCTACGCCGACATTAACTTGATTAAACAAGTCGGTCCATCATGTAGTTCATACTTTGATGCCAAACTGCTGTGAAGAAATAAATAACGTTACAGGATGTTTACTCTGAAACACTGCAGCTCATCTGCTGTGTTTAATATCGCTGGGACCTGAGGAGGCATGTCGGTGCAAAGAACCACGGGATGTTCAAATTAAAACGATTAGATAGGTAGTTTTGTGATTAGTATTGTTTGAATGTTGATTACTGTGGATGGGTACAATGACTTTTGGTGGTTATGAGGCTGTTAGTATTGTGGGGGTTCAGCCAGCAGCGGGCCACCATGACAGGGACTTGTGTAGCGCTTAATGGACTCCAGCCAGTGTCCGTACACAGATACTGAGTTTGTGCTTCATTGGCCCCTTGTGTAGGACACAGGGGACAGTAAACATATTGCAAAACCTGAGAAATCTGGAGTGTTTCATACTCATAGTCCAACGATATTGCAAAAGTACATTCATTCAGTTTAAAGGTAGACATAAGTTTATAACACTACAGCATGTTTGTGCAGCACTACAACTTCATTTTTGTAATATAGCAACACTCAACAAACACATTTATTTGTAATTTCATCGTAAATATTCTTCATAGATAGATAGATAGATAGATAGATAGATAGATAGATAGATAGATAGTCTAATAAGAGAGCTATTATTTGATTTTGATGACATTTCACATTTTTACTAAGCATTAACATCTGAATAAGTCCGTCCACTGCTCAATAAGTGCCTCTTACCTGATGAGCCATCGATACAGTCCCTCATCAAAGTGCCTGCGAGCGGAAAAAACAGAATATTTGAGTCACTAATTTACATAATAATATAGCACTGAGTGAGAAACACCTGAGCACTGGGCTTCACATAAACTGAGCATGTATGCATGATGCACTTTGTGTTTGTGTGCTTCCTCTTTGTCATTAAGAAGATTAGATTTGGCGCCGTCTATAAACTGGAGCTGCTCCGTCAATGATGTCAGCCGACAGCTTTATGCATTCCATCAATGTTGTCAACATCGGCCAGCTCAGCACACGCAGGCTGGATTGGAGTGCATCGGAGTCAGCACATTGGTCTGTGTAACGGACGGCCGGGGCGTTTTTTTTTTTTTTTTTTTTTTTTTACTGCCAAACCAAACGTGCAGCCCTCCCCTTTCAACTTTATGAGCTCTAATTTAAGGGAGCATTTCTCATTGTTAATTACATTTGGGAACAAGAGCGACTGGGCTATGAGTACGAGGTATAAACTGCTGGGATACTCGGCACTTTCTGGAAATTTACAGCACAAACGTGAAGTCCTAGTCGCTGCTCCTCTGCCACATTCCAAAGATGTTTTATTGTATATTAAAAGTTTTGCATTTATTTGCATGTTTGTTGCCTCCCCGTCCGGTAGGTTGGAGGTATTATTTCAACTTAACGATGACGATTATTAGTAGTATTACTTTAAAGGATGTAGATGGTGAGGCTTTTGAACTATAATGAAAGAGTTATTCTTATTATTTAGCCCCCAGTCACTCATATAAATAAGAAACACCTATCAATAGAATGCGATACAGCACCACAAACTTTAGTAATATGGTATATTTGAATCAGTTAAACAGTATAATCTTTACCATTAATTGCATCAGATGTATACTAGATCATATTGTGCAGTAAATCAGCAGCACATCAAGTGTTTTTCCTGATATAGTAAACTGTCAACACAACCCTTTCACCAACCTGAATGTCCTAAAATTACTTCCAAAAAACCCTATTTTTATTATATTTGAAATCCTGCTGAATAAGAGGCTTCATCCCCATGGCACAGGACTGTGTGTTCACTAACTTGAGCAATTGTGACCCCTTCAGAGCAAACCGGGCAAAAATCTTTTGAAACGCATCGTCTTCGCCTCGTAACAAATCTGCTGAAAAGCTTAATAAACGTAGGAATGATCATCACACTCGGTTTCATCATGTCTACTCTCTGCGGAGGTTGATGTGTCCTGAATAACTCAAACTCATCATCAAACCAACAAAAACATAAAGCACACGTTTCATTTATCGTACCGGACTGTGTCAGATCTGCTTTAGAACTGACACACGGTTGTAATTAACCTTTACTCGATTTGGTTTGAACATTTTGTGTCATGATTTACTTCTCCAGAATGTGTTTTTTTTTTCTTTTTTAATTTAGAGGTAAATAAATGAAGCCTTGGCCTGAAAATGCGGAGTGTGTTAAGAGGAACAAACCCTTGTAGTGTGAGTCAGAAACAATGATATAATGCTTCTGTGTGGAGGTGACCCATTGCTCTGATTGCCTCAAGATGAGACAATTTGCCGTTCCCAGTCTGAATCTGATTGCTAAAGCACAGCGAGTACTTAAAGCATGTGACACTAAATGTACCTTTTCCACAGGGATACCAGGGATGCTTTTCTAGTTTTAAGGAATTCAACATCAGGATAATACTATGTTTACACCAATCAGCCACAACATTAAAACCACTGGCAGGTGACAAGAATGACGTTAATCGTCTTTACAACTAAAAGTTCAGCTGGAAAACCTCAGCTTGTGGCGTTTGTGTTGTTGCATTGCTGCAGACCAAGCACACCCCTCCACCGCACCAGCCTCCCCCAGCACAACAATGCGCACTGCCACGTTGCACAAACTGCTGAGGAAAGAACATGACAACGAGCCCAAGGCGTTGACCCAGCTTTTAAACTCCCCCAGATCTCAATCTGATCCAGCATCTGGAACAAGAACAATCCACAGATGCCCGACTCGCTATTTTCATGGCACAAGGTAAATCCTACACGATATTAGGCTGGTAGTTTCAGTGCTGTGGCTGATCTGTGCATGTCAGAGTTGGATCCACTGTACGATCTTACCTCCACATCCCTGTGAAGCTGTACATAATGCTGACACAGCGAGGAAGCTCTGGGGGGACCAGTTTATCCAGAGTGGCGAGCATGGATGGCAGGCCAAACAGCACCAGATACTTCACATAGAAGAACTGGACTAGAGCCAAGGCCAGGCCTCCTGTGACGAGGGAGAAAAAAGAAAGTCTTGAAACTAATACTTCCTATTTTATGATTAAGAAAAGTTCTATATATCCCGAAGACAATCTTCCAGCTAATTTCACTTCTGGGGCCAAACTTTGGAGGAGCAACAAAGGAGGGATCAATAGATGTCATTAAAACTTGTTGGATCTTGACAAACATGATTCACTGGTGCCATTAAAGATGCTGAGTTAATGATAATGAATCATCTTGTCTGCAGTCTATCGACATTTTCCTTCCAGCTTATGACATCTACTGGAGAGGCAAGACAATGATGAGTTAGAAGATGACTGAATAGATGAAATAACTGAATGATTTAGCTTCATAATCCCAGAGGTGCTTTGGATGTAAAAACACCAACATGGACTCTATGGACCACTGCGGCCACCTGCATAAATTATACAGTCCTGCGTGTGCCTTGCTAACACATGCAGGGGCTGTAAGGAGGCAGAGAGCAGGGGGAAGTTGCAGTTAAAATTGAGGACAATAAATTCAAAGCAATTCAATTATATGCAAACAAAACACAACACAGATCTGAGCAACTTGACTCCGACTTGAGAACAATAAGTAAGTCAGCAATCGGCATATCTGGCAGAGATTTAGAACTTGCTAAATCCAGTGGGGGTAACGTGTTTTTTTTAAGTACGGCATCTCAAAAACAGCTTGTGTCTCAAGTGGCAGGGAAATATGAAAGCCCAAACTCAACGCTATACTGCGCAAAAAGCCCAAAATACATAAAGACTTACCCAGGGCCCACGGAGGAAGTATCTCTATGTAGGTCTCATTAGTCTGGATGCAGTGCATGTACATAACGTGGATCATGTATTCTGCAATGCACCACCACAGTATGATCCGTCCAGATCTGAGCACCACGTAGCTGAGAGCAGATTCGTCCCTGTCGCTCTCCTCAGCGGGCCTCCGCATCTGCAAGTGGAGCATGTTGTTAAGGACTGCTGCTCGAAGCTTTGTTGCCAACAACACTAATGCCAGCGTTGTAATAGAAGAGCCTGCACATGCTGTGTGGATATGGACAGATGTAGTGCAGAAAGATAAGCATGCACAGATATGACCAAACAAATGGCAGCTATTGCTCTGCACATCTAAAATATCCGAGTTACTGCACCCTCTCTGCTTTAAATACCCCACCGCCGATGTGTTGTTTACGTTTTTTTGACCTGCAGTCAGGGGCAGCAATCAGCCTCAGCCTCCTCCAGACAAAAGCAGGAGAGGCAATTGTAAATTGCAGTTTACTTCAGGAGTAGCCTTCGATGGCTCTTACCTGCTCCATGTAGTCTTTGTACGTGATAATGGGTCCATTGTAGAAAAAGGGGTGGTAGAAGGTGTACGAAAACAACCAGGAGAGCTGCACAACATCACCACCACCATGGCTCAAAGGGCTCCAGCAGTGCTCCAGGCTGAAGCTGATGAAGCGCAGGCCACAGACAGCAACACTGAAGAGCAGCAGATAGTACTCCTCCTCAGTCTTATACCAGCTTCTCTGTGGAATACAGTGGGAATTATTATTAAGTTCCTGCATTTTCCCCATGCTAACAGTCTGACTTATGTGTGCTTTTAAATATACACCAATGAAAATGAGGGAATTGGAGATTACAGAATATTTACAGAAATGGTTCAGAAAGTCTCCTCCCAAATATAAATGAACATAAGAGAGTTTTTGAGGTGAGAGTTGAACGTAAAGAGGTATATTTAGGTCTATTTCTCTTTAAATTTCTGCCCACTGTGACTGGAGCATTGCTGTAACCATGCTTGATGCATCAGATACTGTGCAGACAGACTACTCATCAGTGGCTGCTGTTAAGACCATTCTACATGTCCTGAAATACAACCAAAAGGAATGAATTTATGTAATTTAGTCCCTGAAGTTACAATACAAACTGAATTTCAGTATGTTTTTATCTGTAATTTGTTGTGTTCATCACTGTGCTGCATTGCAACAGGACACAGAGCTTCTCCCGTCTAATTATCCTCATGAAACACTGCAAACGAGCTGATTGATGCTTTCAATATTTTCTCTTAACTTTCATTCAGTTGTCTGGTTTTAGAATAAAGGAGCTGGGCAGGCAAATGGTTGCACATCCCCTTGGTGTCTTGCGCCCTCTTGTGTTCTTTGCAAATATCGCATTTAGTGCAAAGGTGAGCCATCAATAGACGTTCTAAAAATCTGCTTTTTTTTTGCTATAACATAAAATAAATTGTGAATTCATGCCTTGTTCTGAGAAGAGTAGTTTGTGGAAAGAGTTCCCTTTTGTCTTATTTAGCTCGTTAGGAAACAGCCAATCAGATGAGGCGACCAATTACCTCTGGTGTGGCAGTTTTCTGACCTTCCTGAGGAGTCAGACAAGGACTTCACGGTCTCTAGTTTTGGGTTTCTGTGGCCTTTCTTCCTTATATTGCACCTGCAGCTCAAGGTAGGTCTAATTTTGATGTAAAGTCCTGTTTTTATCAGTTAAACAGATTTTGGGTCAACCCGGTGTGAGAGAGATGCAAATGCAGAACAAATAAGAAGCTTCTGTGTTTGGGTTGAAGTGCTGTTTCACTCATCTGCTGCTTTATTTGTGTGGAAATGCAACAGTAGTTTCAGCAATATTCAGATTTACAGTGGGTTTATTTATCCATAGAGGAATTTTGGTGCTTCCCAAACAGGTTTTAGACACCACCAAAGCAAACCACAAGTGTCAAAATCATTTAAAAATAATAATAATTAAGAATAAAAAACAGCAGTTCGTTTTTGAACCACTTTTTAAAAACTGAGGTGTCATTTACGTAAGAATAATAGACATTTTTGTTCATCAAATGGTTATAAATACCAGGAACGTGCATGTTTTCCATTGCTTTTACAATCTGCAGGCTGATAATTGTCATGTCTCGTACCAGGTGTTAGGTTTTATTTGGTTTTTTGTCTTGTATTTGTGTTGTCTCGTGGCTTTTATTTTGAAACCTCTTTGCCCTCGTGTTTCAGGAAGCTTGCCCTCTCCCCGGTGTTTCCTGTGTCTGATTGTCTACCCAGCCCTGATTGTGTCCACCTGTTCCTCATTACCTTGTGTGTATATATATAGTCTGTCCTGTGCCAGTTCGTCTTGTCATTGAGTCAAGCTTCACGTTCTAGCCCTCTTCATGTCCAGGATTTCCCCGTTCATGTCCCTTGTGGAAACTACCTTCAGGTTTTGTATTTTGTTTGCTACTTTGTATCCAGCGTCTTTCCTAGTCAAGTGTTTGAGTTGTTACTTTGTTTAGAAAGATTAAGTTTTTCCTCATTGAGTGATTTTTTTGGTTCTTTAGTCTCCTCGTTAGAGTGACGTTTTGGTTTTTTATTGTTGAATGATATTTCTGTTGATACTTTTGTAAATAAATCAGTTTGAGAACGTTTTTTGAGTTGTGCATTTGGGTTCGCTTTTTTGTTAGTCTTGTCAGATAATGCTTTCAGATTTGTGTAATCAACACCCAAACACCTTTTCCGAGCCAGGAAAAAAAACCCATGCTCACAAAAATGCCAACAAGTGTAAAAGAAAATTTGTTTGTGGAAGCTAAAGCCAGGTCTGCATACATTCGTAGCAATCTCAATGCAATTAATAACCAGCTTTAGGATTTTAAAGTCAACATAACATTCACCCTAAAATCAGACAGAAGTCATATCCAGGTGACGTGACCCACCTGGATGTCCTGAAGTGGCTGGATGTGAAGCGTGGAGAGCAGCAGCAGGTTAAATGCCCATGACAAAGCAGGCTTTCGTAGCTGAGCCACTGAAAAGGACAGACTCAGATGTACCAGCAGCAGGCTCACACCTTTAATCCCCAGCACACTGCAGGCGGCTAAGAGGCCATATATCGTGAGCGCCGGCACCCGCAGCTGTCGGGAGAAACATAAAAAAATGTGTCGGATTGAAGCGTCTCCCACCTGTAGCTGTATTTCATTTGACACTCCTGGAGCAGCTGCGTCCTACCTTTGGGTAAAAGATGCTGGTCAATCTGGATACCACGCCATGACCAATCAGAGTCCACAGTAAGGACTTCTTGGCCCAGTCGGTCCAGAAACTCCATTCAAAGTCTAATGGGTCCTGACAAAAACAGCTAAACGTCACCACTGACCTTTAAAAATACACCTGAAAGCCTTTTGAAAACAAACTTCGAAGGGTCAAGAATCCTCATTTTTATGCAGCAACCAAATGGATGAACTCTTCTAAAAATGTGAAAACAAGCTTGTGGTTTCTGTGGCACAAAGTAGCTTAAATTGGGGCATGAGAGGCAGCATAACACTGGTTCAGACTGGGCTTTAAATCAGCACTTCCAGCTTTGAACTTACCCTTTTAAAGCCCTTAAGGAGGCCCTTTTCCAACTGGAACTCTCTCACTAATGGAGCCTCGTGCTCTGAGGTACAAAACAGAAAATAACGGCTTTAATTTTCTTCACCTATTCTTCTTGTTTTATCCAAATAATGCACTGATATCTGCCTCACCTTTGGAGAACCTGTGCAGTTGGTAGAAAGAGTACAGATGAGAGCCAAAGGACAGCACCCAGTACACGAGGAGCTCTGTCCGTGGCAGAGGGGCCAACTTGGCCTTTGGTTTGGATGTCATCAGGCAAAAATCACTGTGCTATAGTGCCCCTAAAACACAATAAGTCAGATATACACATGCTAAACCAATTAAAGCTGTAATTGGCACTGATACTAGGCTCAGCATACAATGTATTATATTGATATGAAACTGGAATTAGAGGCAATTCATGCAAATCCTGAATTAAATTAAAGGAAAATATGATTTATTACAATTTTATGTAATTGGCACAGTCCTATTTGGAAACTCTTTGTACATCCTTGACATCAACAACTAATTTGTAGCTCTGATAGTCTTTTATTTTGATGCAAAACTTACTTTCACATGTTATTAATTCTAAACTGTGCACTGCCGACAGATCTTTAATCATTTTCATGCAAGATCAGTCTACACCTCCAAAATCAATAACAACTAACTGTGTATAATCCCCCTGATACTTCACAGTAATTCTCACAATTAACATATTGTACTATACATAAAAGAAACTGCAAATGTACACAGAGCTAGAGCACAAGTGGAGATGGCAACCTTCATTCACCCTTAATCATGGTTGAATTTACGTATGGATTGCAGCACTAACCACTGGTTTCTAAAAATAAATTAAGTGACAATGTATGAAGGCACAACTTGGAAACAACCTAAATTCTTTATCACCCACTGAACAGAATATTTTTCCATCCACATGGCTCTGAGCAAAGTATTTCAGGACTCAAGTTTTTATTTTTTAAACAAGTTTCCTGAGTCTTCTTTTTTTGCGCATTGTTCAGCCGTCTTCCCAATGTCAGTAGTCAACGGGCTGTAATTGTCGTTTTGATTCGGAATGAGGCAATAATGCTGAAGGATATGCAAAAAAATAAATAAATGCATAAACAAATAAATAAAAATCATAATGCAATTATTTTGACAGAAATTGCGCCATGATTTAGTAGGAATGGTATTTTTTCATTTCTTTTCCACAGAAACAAAACTATCTAATGTGATTTTTGCTGCAGTCTGTACCGAACAACCACGTTCTCCTTTATGTCTGGAGAACATGATTTGTGGCTGGAGCTTCTTTGTAGCACATTAATGCTTCATTTATAATGATATTTTTCCTTTATCAAAAAAATTGCACCTCCTGCAATTTGAATATTCAATATTTAATTCTACTTTTATATAAACTTGGAATATATTGAGGTATGAAGGAGTCATTTACAAGGTACCTGAGTAAGAAAATAAAAGACGGGGCGCACAAATAAACACATGAAATAATGAACTTTATCAAATAGTGATTTCAGTAATATTTCAGTGAACTGTTCAGGCCTAATTGGGGAACTGCTTAAGATATATTTGTCATTCAGTGGAAGAATCCTTTTGATTCTGATGGTTCAAATAATCTTTTAGGATTTTAGTTATGTGAAACGAACTACTGCTGGTCAGGCTGTAGTTTTTATTTTTTTATTTATTTTTTGAAAACAACAATAAAAAATGGATTTGAAAATTTTAAATGATTGTAAAATAAATAAAATTATCTTTGACCGTACTTTTAAACAAAACAGACCCCTCTGGAGGATTAACGTGTATTACTTCCATCGCACTGAACTGACTTGAAGGAGACGTCCAGCCGTTGCCAACCGCTGCCGTTGCTAGGTAACACGTCCCAGAGGTTGCTAGCGGTGACGTATATCGCTCCGCCCCCCCAGCAAAAAAAGGGCAAAGTAAAGCAGCTAGCTAATGCTATCATGCACATTCACTGAACATGCTAACGTTACCTGGTGTCATTTTGTCGTTAGGAGGAGACCTTTACCAGCAAGTCGGCGTGTTCGCACTAGTTGTCGTGCTAATTTTGTCCATTAGTTTTATTCCCACTCTGCTAGGCTACCACGTAACTTCCGCAAGCTGCCCTCTCCGAATTACAGTTAGCTAACGTTAGCTACGCTAGCTAGTCATTCGAGCAGGCTGTATTGTTGCCTAACAGAACCGAACCGGTTTTCATTGCGTTGCTGAAACCTGCAGACTGCACCGTGACAGCTCTTGGACCGTGGATCCCGGTATCCAACATTCAAAGGTACCGAATTCTTCTTCTTCTTTTTCCGTGTTTCACTGTGGCAGCAGCGTTTTACAGCACGACCGCCCCCAACTGTCCGGGAGTGGCTTAGCAAGAGGAGGACAACACTGTAATTACATTTTATGATATTTAATTAGTATTCTGCTGTATTTATTTGAACGATCTATTTACTTTGAACACGGAAACACGCCTCTACTCTACATATTTCGAGGTTATGATGCATTTATTGCGTTATCTTCTGTTTGTGATTCTAAAGTGAAGTTGTGGATGTAGGACTGTCACTTGTGGGTATAGTTTTCAGTCTGGTAGGGTTGTTAGTATTTAGGTAAAAGGTCTCTGCACTCCATCTACCACTGGATTTAATCTACATAACTCGTATGAACTTACAAAGGTAAGCCAATAATAATAGTGCAATAAAAAATCAATATATCAATCAATATATTGAGGTCAATTTGTAATTTGATTCCCCAATGAAAATCTCCTAAAAATGTACTGAATCAATTTTTGGGGTTTTGAACTAATACTTAGTCTTTTTGATTCTATAGTGCAGGTTACTAACAGCAAGCCACTTGTATTATGCTGCATCCTGTCCTGTATAGAACTTAAAGTGATGCTGAAATAGTCTGCTGTGAGATTGGATTTCAACTTGCTGAGTGGTGAAGCATTTGCTCACTACTATTAGTCATGAAAGCCTAGAAGCAATCTAGTTGTTTATGGGGTCTTTCCTGGCTTAGAATGGTGGATGGTCAGTGTACAGTAAAGGCAATGAGTGTGTGTTATCTTATTTGAGAGAAATCTGTGCATTTTAATGAACAAAAATGTCTACTAGCTGAAAAACCTCCTTGGGATGCACGACAATTCCTCTATGGGGGAAAAACACTGGAATTTCTATTGTACATAAAAAATACTGTAAATTTAAACATTGTAAATTAAATTGAAGAACTTTCACACACGCAAAACAGTTTTCTTTGATATTTTAATCACTCTACAAGTGGAGTGGTACAGTTTATTGTGGAGAAACTGTGTTGGTTCAGTAGGTTAAGGGATCGGCAACAGACTCTATGCATGCATTCTGAATTAGACAGGGTTTGTCGGGTTTTAATAGCTCAACAATTGATCAGATAATCTCAACAACAAAAAAGGCAGTGGGTAATAAATATGGTAATAAGTTGACATTAAGACAGCATGCACAACAGCACAAATATCTCTTCATACATGATCCATTCTTTCCTCGTTGAAAAAAAAAAATCGGCAGCTTCTTACCAAGAACAACAGCGTTTCTGACAAACTAAAGGAGTGCGTAGACTCAGTTTATGAACTTGACAAATAAACGTTTGATGTTTCATCTCCCCGTAGCATCTACAGCTTGTTTCTTTGCCTTACAGCCAAATACAGAGCAAGATACGAACACGACCACATTTCATGTACACTTTCAGTTATCCACACTGAGAGAATCAGATTCCATCACTTTACCAGTTAATTGTAAGCTCATCTATTGTGTGTGTGTGTGTGTGTCTCATCTATTGTGTGTGTGTGTGTGTGCGTGCATGCTAACGTGTTTGCATGCAGTCATGCTTGTGTGTGTATGTGCACAGTGTAATCACAGTATGAATATGTTTTCACAGCTCGTCGGTCTCTCCATCGAAGGGCACGGCATCCGTCTCCATGTGAATGCTGCTGGGCTCGCTGCTGCCCACCCAGCCAATGGGAGTGCGGTTGAAGGAAGGCCGGCAGCCAATGTCTTGTTGGTACACTGCAGGTTCAGGCTCCTCTTTGGTCGCCTCAGTTTCTGGCAGCTGGAATTTCAGGAACTGATTGGCCTTTTCAAAGCCGCCGAAGGGCATGGCAGTCCTGTCAAACCGAGGTTAGAGGTTAATTAAAGCTCCTGTTTTGTCACAAAGCGCTCTGCAAAGTCAAACCTTGAGGGAGCTACCTGTTGAAGCTCTTGTACTTGGGCAGATCCTTTGGGTTAATGGGAGCAGGCATTTCGGTTTTCAGAGTGGCTATCAGGCCTTCGTCACCCTTCATCGCCTTCTCCCATGGCGACACGTACGTCTTCACAACAATCAGCTTCTTGGATGCGGAATCTTTTCCACCTCCTGTGATGAAAACAGATAGAGCTTTGTGATGTGATGTTTGTGCATTGTTTGTGTAGATGAAAATGCTCAACATTTGGGGAAATATGATTCACTTTGGTAAAAGGTAAATGAACGTATCAATACCACTCTTATGTCTGTGCCCCACATATGTAGGTAGAGTCAACCAGACTACCACAAAGACTGGAAACATGTTTTTAAGTTGAAAGAAATAAAAACAGTCTGCATACGGTCACCTCCAAAATTCACAAATTAACGCATAATATCTGATTTATCTAATTCATACAATGCCAAAGTGTAAGAACAACACATGGTGATGTTTCACAGGTTGCTTGTCTATTAATTAATGGCTTCCTCAAGTTTCCTTTGGTTGCCTGACAACTGCACAGTGACAACAATGTTTTTTATATTTTTGTTTTTTATAGATTAAACAATCAAGATATATTTTTTCAATTAGCAAGCTATAGAGATGCTGGTAGGCAGATTTCTTTTTATTTTTTTAATTTAGATAGAGCTGTTTTCTGTCTCCTGTCTTAAAGCCAAGCTAAGCTAACCAGCTTCTGATGGTAGTGTCACGTTTACTGTACAGACATTAAATCCACTAATCTAACACTCTGCCGGAAAGTAATCAAACATGTTTCCCAAAATGTCAAACTGCTCCTTTAAGATTTTGTTGTGCATTGTTGTGAACAGTTTAATTATTACCAACCTTTTAGTGGAGACCACTCACTCCCTCCTTCTCCTGTTAAACCCGCCAGCAGTCCTCCTGCACCTCCTGCTCCTCCTGCTCCTCCTGCTCCTCCTGCACCTCCTGCACCTTTGCTTCCAGGCTTTGGAGGAGGCACAGGGGGCCCCCCTGCTCCTCCTGCTTGTGCCCCTCCAAAGTACAGATGCACATTCTGTTTGCTAACAAAATGCCCACCAACATTTATCATCTGACCTCCCATCTGACCCCCCAGGGAAGGAACGAACTTCTGAAGGTTGTCCTGAAAGAAATATAATCCACGTAGTCAATCACATGCCATACAGAACACTGATTTGTATTCACTGATTAACAGGAAGTTCCACAGTGTGTTGAAAAATGCTCTTATGTAGCTGGTGTGACTGACCAGGAACGATGTAAAGCTATTTGTTTAACTAACATATGTGCAGGTGACTTAACATTTAAATCATTAAGCCCACTTTTCTGCCACTTGTCTTGTTTCTTTGTTGATTTTCTAAAAATGTATTATTCACACATAAGCAATGATTTTTGAGAAAGGTTTCCTTTAAAATGACTAAAGCTAACTGAATGTCATTTTCACTGTGAACAAGGTTCTCACCATTGACTCACTGCTGAAGATGTCGGGGTTGTTCTCGTAGATGAACTTCTCCACCCTCTGCTGTCTCATCCGGAACATCTTGGAGCCTCGGTTCTTCATCAGGGAAAGCTCCTCCAGCATGATGTCTTTGGGAGTCCTGATCTTTGTCCCCAGGTCGAACTCAGACGCCTCTGGCTCGGACTCATACTCTAGGTAAGGGACATCCAAAAAATAGCCATAGCAATTATTTAGTCGTAGAGATGTCTTTGTATTTGGTAGCTTTTTGGAGTTGAGTAAATCTATCTTGGACATGATCATTCAAAAGTATGTTTAGTCATAGCTGTTGAGAAAATATGTGCAAAGACACATTCTTTTTCTTTATTGCAGAGGTATGATTCCCAATAGTAACATGCTAATAGAAAAAAATCACACAAAATAATGAAATCAGTCAGTAATCTGATTAATCTGATGATGGGTTGTCATCACATACTTTAATCACAACATTTATTAAGCAATACAAACAATTAAGCTGTTTGTTTAAGGAAGACTACAGCATTTATTCATCTTCTCTTTTTATGTATTCATATAAATGTGCTCCTCTGAATACAAAGTTCTTAAACATAAGCACTTTATAACCATTTTACACATTTGTCATGGTATTTACTGGCAGTTGATGAAAAAAATAATGAGGTATCCTCATCAGAAAAAAAACAGATTAATTTAACTAAAAAAGGTTAAACTAGAGTTCTGTGTATTGTTCTGTTAGACTTTTACTGATGATATTTTTCTGCTTACGCTGCCGATGATACAGTACCTACCATCTATATCATTCAACTATTTATGTATACTATATTTAAAATACAGAGCTGCGCTGAGGAATGGTAATTTGGTTTCACATTCATGTCGTTTCGTGACAGCCTTACCATCCTGAGTGATATGTGATAGGTCGGTTATGATCTTGGAGGGCTTTTTCCGCTTGTTTAGGGGGGCAGGTGTTCCCAGAGGCATGGCTGGAGGGCCAGGAAAGAACATAGAACATTACTCCTGGTAACAGAAATGCAGAACAAAATCCCTTCATTTGAAACTACAGAAATACCTTTTCAGCAGGAGTTATGAGCAAAATAATGCCAAAGCTTCTCCAAAAAATGTCGAGACATTCATCCACAACATCTAACATATCAGAGTGTTTAATATAAAAGCAAAAACATGAAGAAAAAAAACACGTTTGGCTCGATGTCATGAGTTGTATATTTGACATTTCATCATTGTGTTCACAAAAATTAACAGTAATATGATTCTAAGGGTTCAGATACACTGCAGGGAGTGTTGTTGTTTCAGTTTAAAAACTGATTCACACCAGCTTCTCAAGATCACTCTTGACCGTCAACACCTACGACTACCAACCACCCCTGAGGTGAATCCACAGGACCTGAATGTATCAGACAGACAGCTCGGGCCCTCCTCGTTTTTCAAGTTCAAGGGGGGGATGTCAGTGACCTCAGATTCCCTACATTCCCTCGTGAAACAGATGTCTGCACCAAAGGAAACATATAGCCCAATGTGTGTTTCAGTTTTGTTTGGGCACACGAGATCTGGACGCCGTCAGCGGAAGCAGGCTGTTGTTTAGGCAGAACCTGGTCGATCCTTAAAGTCTGGTGCAGCCCTGCTGCAGTAAAACTGAAGGACTCCAGATCATAAAATAGCATCGGCATTATTCATATCATATGATCATATTCCCCAATCTGCTGCATGGAAGCATGTAGATGGGCAAAGCGGTGGTAATGCTTCCCTCTGGCTCATATGTCGACATATCACTCAGTGCTGAAATATATTAACATTAATAACCAACTTTTTCACAACTTATGATGCGTTGCTTGTTTGGGATATGCATCTGATTCTTGCATTATCTTATATGTTTATGTTACACAGTTTTTTTTTTTGTCTTCTTACGCGTATATCTCCAGCTCTCAACAGTTTCTTTAAGGCCCAGTCAAGTGGCAAAACATCACATCACATCTACTGGCTGGTAACTCAACCCACTGCAGCTATTTTTAAAAGTCATTTCCAGCCAAGACATTTTAGCGACGTGTAATGGCGTCATTTGACTATCAAATGGGCTCGACACACCTCGTAAGAACACAATACGCACCTCCAGAAAAACAATTCCAAGTGTCCGGTCGACCCTCTCGAAACAGGAGGCGGAACCAGAGTGGTTAATGGATGTTAACGAGGAGGATTTTTTTGACACAGCTTTAATTCCCTTAAATAATTACAGGCTCAGGGGGCTCAGATTTACCGCCCCCCCTCGCAGGATTTGGTAACACCATATAAAATCCCTGCAACGCCCCCAGAGAGGGATGGTCAGCACATTCGCCCATTCCTTTGGTCATTTTAAGACATACCAAATAAATCTAAAAGCAGCCGAGCAACCTCCAAAGCTATTCCTCTAATTCTTTTTTAATTCTTTTTTGGACTCAAACTTCTAGTCTTGTTTACTGAGCAGTCGAGGTCTTCTTGCATGAGTTCTTTCCTCGAGACGAGCTGCACAACCAGCAGAAGTTCTGACTGGGAGCACGCTGCACATCCTTAATCCCTCTCCTCATTTTTTGCAATGTGCAGAATTTAAATCCAAGCTGTTTGTCAATTAATAGAACAACCGATGGGATGCAGATCCACTCACCGGGTTTCTGTTGTAATCCTTGGAGGTGAGACAGACCTATAAATACCAAACAGTGAAGAGGAGACCCAGGGCTCAATGCTGGTGATCACAAGTTTACAAATCCCTCAGTGCCTCCGTCCCTACGAATGGCTGGACCCAGGTCCCGGGAAGTGCGAAACCCACCCAGCACTCAGATGGCAGATCTTCCAGGGGGTTGGGGGTGGCAGCAGTGTTGGTGTCAAGACAGGAGGAGGAGGTGGTTAGGAGTATGAATAGGGATTGGGGAGGGGGGGGCATTAAGGCAGGGGGGAGAAGTCTGTGTTGGCCAGCTGAAAGTGCTGATGGTGATATTAAGGGAACAAAATCATTCTCACAGATGGCTCAGAAGCCTATATTTAGTCGCAATGAACGAGGGGAACAGAGCTCAGCTATAAGATAACCTCAGAGGACTCCGGGGTGTGTTTGGGGTACGCAGAGGGACGTGGAGAGTATGTACGAGTGCACAGTGCAAGCTGAAGGTTAAGCACATGTGTGTGAGGCCACGTCAGTTTGTATTTCAAAGTGACAGTTCGCTCCTTAACTCTGCGGCGTTCTCTAACCTGACACTAGATTGTCACATTTTCAGTTTCTCTGGAGCATCACGTGACGGGACATGATGGACGTGTGCAGACAGAGCTGTCAGAAACCCCAGCAGTGTTTGTATGGCTTACACAGCTTGAGAAAACACATGTAGACGTAGTTAAAGAGAATTTGTTCTTCTGCTTCCTGTGTAGTTTTGTTCATTTTTGACATACATTTTTAGAACTGTGGTTTAAAGACATGAAAACATTTACAGCGTGCTTGTTGTATTGTAAAAACAAAGTGGCGCAAAATTGCAATTATTTAAAAGATTTTGGCAATTGAAATTAATTTAAAATTTAACTTAAAACCACAAATGTGAATCTTGTGGTGTTGCAGGACAAAAAAATCAGGGTGATCCCCAAATCTACTAGGATTCATCATTTGGGTAGCAAACCAGTGAAAGAAAACTTAAACTTACTGGTACACTGAAAAGAATCTGGCAGCAAAGTTGCCCAAACATACATTAAAAATGTTGGATTGCTGTGATGTTCAAAAATTCTAAAAACTGTGAAAATAAAGGAAAATATCACTGTCAAAAAATTATGTGTTTTTTTTAGCTAATTTAAACAGAGTAAAACATTCTAATTTTATGGCCACACATTTTAAAAAAAAAAGAGCAAATTACTATTTGTAAAAATACAGATTTCTGGTGTGGACATTTTGTACTCCCTCAATATTTAAATTAATATTTTCTTGTGGTTTTACAAGTTATCTGTAAAAATCTGTAAATCTTTAATTTTTCAATCCTAATACACGTAATTCTTCTTTCAAATATACAACAAGTATCTTTAACTTTATGATATTTTTTGCCCATTTAATGTCAGACGTAAAAGAATAAAACACCATTCATACAAACACCGATTTCTGATGCAGACTTTACAGTTTTGATTTGTTTTTTATGGTTAACATGTAAACATTTCTTTATAGTACTATACTATAGTTAGTTACTTTTTTTCTGTGATTTTTCCTAGTCATCTGTATTTTTTATAAAACAGAGATCTGTACAATAACAGTAAACTGTTAAAAAAAAAATTGCAGTGTTTCACTACTGAAACTGTCAGAGGATCACCAATGTCCTTTAAATTCAACCCTTTGAGATCATGAATTCCTGTGCAAACCTTCATGGCAATCAATCCAGTGGTTGTTAAATTATTTCGGTTTGGAAGTGGTCGGTCATCCTTAGAGTCACGCTGTGGCTTAAAAATAAAGGATATCGACTAAACGCCCACCTTAGGTAATTTACATTTAGTTTTAGAGTGTAATTGTCCTCAGGTCAGTGAAAGCCACTACAAAGTTTTGTATATCTTGATGACTAATAAAAAACAAATGCAAAATAATGATCAGAAAAGTGTATTTATAGACTGTAACATGAAATATACTTGAGTGTACATTAGATTGATAACAGATTGGTATTAATTTGATGAGGATAACTTGACAAGTTTCTCTGGAGTTCTGTTAATTGCATTTTGTGGATGAGGTTGCATTCTCATTTATAATATCAGCTGGCAACGTAATCTTGGGATTCCTCATGAGCTTTAGATTTGTATGCATGCTCAGGTTAGATTTACATCTCTACAAGCTCGGCTGAATCCACCAAGTCAGTGTGGTTTGTGTTGGTCTTGTGTTCTGGAGCCCACAATGAAAATAGAGATTGTGACTGACTGCAATCCAAGAACTTGTCCTAAAGTGACTGTGCATTTTTTTTGTCATTTTTCCTCTGTGCACCATCACAATGGATTTGAAATGAAGCAATCAAGATGTGATTGAAGTGTCGACTCTCAGCTTTATTTCAATGGGTTCAACAAAAATAGTGCATCAGCTGTGTAGGAATTACTCCCATTTTTTCCCATAGTTTTCAGGCTCAGATACAATTGGGCAAACCAACATAAAAATAATTTTAAAAAACCCTCTTAACTCTTGCATGCACATCTTTTGCATTCATGACTGTCTGAAGTCTGGAAACTGTGGAGAAATACCAGTTCCTCCCTTGTGCTGCTTTGCCAGGCCAGCAGCAGCAACAGCTGGTTGGTCAGCCGGGTTGAGGTCAGGTGACTGTTACCTTTGCGGTATGTTTTGAACCATTATCCATATAGAATCCATCGTGCTGCATCTACCCGCAGTCACATCATCAGTAAACACCAGTAACCCAGTTCCATTGGCAGCCATACATTCCCATGTCATAACACCGCCTCCATCTGTTTGACAGATTACACGGTGTGCTTTGGATCATGAGCCTTTCATTCCTTCTTAACACTCTTCTCCTCCCATCGCTCTGGCACAAGTTCATCTTGGTTCCCCTGAAGTTCATCTTGTTCCAGAAATATCAGAGTGTTTGTTTTTTTTTATATGTTTTTGTAGCAACGTCTAATCTGGCCTTTCAGCTTTCGAGTGTTACCAGTGAGCTGTATCTTGAGGTCAACGCTGTATATTTACTTGTTATTGAAAGCATCTCTTGATTGCAGAACTCCTTCAGAGCGTTCTTGACTTAACTGGGAAGAGAGGGCAGAAATTCAACAAGCGTCCACTTTAGTTGTCAGTGTAGTCCTTCTCTTTAAAAGTGTGTCAAATTGTTGATTTGGCCACTCCTGAAGTTTCCTCTATCTCACTTATAGTTGTGTTTTGTTTGTTTGTGCTGCTGAGTGCCTCCTTCACTTGCACTTACGACACCTCTTTGGACCACATATTGAGAGTTCCCATGAACAGCTCCCGAATGCAAATTCAACACTTTGAATCAGACCTTTTTATCTGCTTAATTTGTCATGAAATAACTAGGAAACGGACCACGACTGGCCGTGAAATTGGACGTCAGTCAGTTCTCAAATTACTTTTAAACCTGTGCAAATGGAGAAACTATGTAAAAAACAAATTACTGTAACTCTTAAATGGTTTGTGCAATATTTTTTTGTAAAATCATTTGATTAAAGCTGGAAGTCTACACTTCAAATACATCTTAATTGCATCATTTCAGATCAATTGTGGTGCAGCACAGAGGCAAAACTACAAAAGACTGTACATGCAGCTCTCTGCAACACTTGTACCGAAGACAAATATCCTCTGTGGGACAAAATACGTAAAACTGAACTGACTGGTTTACAATTAAAAAAGAATATGAAAGCTAGGAATATGGTACATTTTTTTTATCCTGACATCTGGGCAATTTCCCAACAATCAGTGGTTTTGTGTATCTTTAATTGTCTGCTTGTGTTTGACTCGGCTCTGCCTTATTTTTAACCCACTCCTGTCCAGCCTCCTCTCAAAATAGCAGCCCTTCAGTTCTCAGTAATTTTAGATCCATCTTCAGACTCAAGTCTAAAGAAAGTTTTCTGTCATTTGCTGTAAGATCATTTCAGTACAGTCGACCTTTAGCAAGTGAAAGGTTTTGATCACTAATTATGTTTCTTAAAATGTAGGTTTTTGAGGGGGATTTAAAAAAATAAAAACATTTTTCATACACTTCCTCCACAACCATCCTTGCCTTCTAAGAAATTTGTAAGTGTTCATGTCCCTGCTCTGAAAGATGTGCAGGGCTGTAAATAAATAGTGTATGCTGAGCTAAGCGAATACTCAGAGAAATAGGAAGACATTAAGACACACTGTAGTTCTGTTACTGTTACCAGAACATCAGTCCCATGGAAACTACCGTACAGTACATCTTCAAATAGAAACTTTCCAGAAGCAGTTTTATTTTTTTGATATGCTCTTTTTTTAGCAGTTATATTAAGAGCTAATTCTTAATTACAGTAGTGACCTGGTAAAATGTCCTTTTCATTAGACATAAATAGTTGTGTGTTTGGATATTAACAGCCCTATATATAGGCACCGTGTGAGAGCCGAGGTTGGCAACAAAATGCCAGAGAGCAGTCCAGCAGACCAAAGCGCCACAGCACCACTCAGTGGCAAAAGTTCATGTAGATGAGACACTAAAGTAATACTGAAAATGACTATCATGTGGGAGATCTAACCCGGAGTATCAGGACATCTCAAATTGATTTACCTCCCCTCTGTCATAAAGTAATTCTTGATTTTAGATACAAAAATGTAGAAGAATAGAGACTTTTTACTCATTAAGTTGACATTATAGGCAAATGTACCCCTATTTACAGGGATTAAGAAATAAATATAAAATGTATATATCAATATGTTGATATTGCAGATATGTGTTTCAAATACCGTCTATTTAGCCAAAAATGCAGCAATGGCACAATTTATATGTATTTATATGTATAAGCACACACCTCTGTTTAATTAGAGCTTAATAGTAGTGTGTGTTTTTTGTGTCACATTTACATTTCACTGCAAAAGTTTAGAGAAAAAGGTAAAAAAAAAAAAAATTTACACATTTTGTCTTTTTTGAATAGAACAGAAGTAAATAAATCTCTGCAGCAAAGACACAATAAACACAGTCATTCTTCAGATGTTTGAATGTTAATGCACCTTTACTTTTTATTTTAACAACTTAAAAAGAAAGAAAGAAAAAAACATTTACCGTTTGAAATGTTCTACTCGTAAAATCTCTGAATTCCACTCAGCCTTTAGTTGAGTTGTGAAGCCGGTGAAGAATTGTCCTTAATAACGGCCAGCTGATGACAACTCCAGAGCTAATAAACTCTTCAAACCTTGTGTCAACGCTCAGCAACTACTGGCTCCTCTGAACAACTGAGTGAGGATCTGTTAGTAAACCAGATTCATGCCTACAAAGAAGAAGAAGGCTATAAAAAGAAATCAAGCGCTTCCAGCTTGTGTTTTTCACAGGTTGAAATGTTATTGAGAAATGACAGTCAAGGGGAATTGGGGAAATTATGACAAGTTATAAAACTGCACGTCGGCTGGGCAGAAGGGTGAAACAAAACCTCCGTCCTGTGGTCAGCTGAAGCTTGTGGAGCAGCTCTTGGAGACCCCTGATGTAAACTAAACATCTGTGGGGAGACACATCAACAATATCTCTGGACTTCAAATGATTTCTAAGCAAGTGAAGACCCCGAAGTCAAGAACAGAAAGATTCTGCCAATGTGGGATGACGAAGTTTGAACTTAGTAGGCTGAAAATGCTGCAACTTTTTCTGTATTTCAAAAGTAATACTGCATTAGCGCTTTGTTATCAACAAATTGTTGCCCAGAAGTGCTTTTGCATAGAAGTGCAGGTCTACTGGTTACAGAAAAGATGTTTATAAGTCACATCTGTGTTTTGGAATTAGTGCTTTTGCTGTAACTGTTTTCCAGACAATAATTTACAAAAGGTGAAAATGTGAACATCTGGAGTTTGGCTTAAAGTCACTGAGACGTTCACTGACGGTTTGGTCTGCAGTTAAACAAAGGGTTTCTCCAAGTACCTTGTTACCTCTCCATGACTCACTGGATGAAAAACATTATTTTGATGATCTGAATGATGTGCTAAAACTTCTGAATTAAGCTTGTATAAAACTCCTGAAATTACTTTTTCTTTGCAGGCACCAAAGTAGATTCACAAAGTAGAAGATCAGGTGCTGATGTGATGAAAATCAGGTGAGATGGAAGTCCTCTGGTGTCCTAATGGCCTGGATTTCACCCCATTTATATACAAAGGTGAGCGATCTGACATTTTTATTTACAAATTCAGGTCTCCCTCTTTCTTTATAACTTTTAAAACCTTTCACATTGTTGCTGCAAAGGTGAGAAAGGCTTATCTGCATGTGCTTTGCTATGATTTTTCCTGCTGTTGGAATTTCTTTTAATGTGCTACACCTCTGATCATATACATTAATATTTGTCATTTACAACCTAAATATTATGAATATTGAGATTTTATCAGTGTCATACCTGCTGTGTGTAAGATCCAACATGACTCTGACATGAACCTTGACATAACAAATAGAACCAGAGCCAAATCATTTGCAGCCTCTTTATGGTGAAATGCTGTTTAATTATTCTCGTATAGTTTGTGTTTGCTTCTATTTGTTGCTTGCTCAGATAAAAACAGAGTAATGTTCAGTATATTTATTCATGTGCGGATGAAACCTTCCTGTAGTGTTTGTGTTTTCACTGCTTCCCTTTGAGTGTATTTTTTAAATTAAAACTAGTATATAGTGACAGTTACTGCACTGCTCGATTATTAATATCTTTCTTTAATGCATGCCTGTAATGTGCATTAAAAGAAAAGAGCAGGATCACACACTGAACAACAGGGGGCAGTGTAAAATCAGACATGTCAGACAACCAGAGAGCTTTCAAGTCTAATTTTATTTCTCTAAAAATGTTTTGTCCCCTAGTCAGTATAAACTTCTACTCAGCCTTAATAACAAACATTTTCACACTTATAGTTTAACACGACTACATTCAGAAACATATATATTGTATTTTACACCTCAACATTACCATAACCATAACTTAGACTTTTTGCAGCCATAATATTATGAAAGCAAAAAAAAAAAAAGCTTTAAGAGAAATTGTATTTTAAAAACGGTAAAAAACAACAAAAGTATCTTCCACAACTGAAAACAACATAATCATTTATTTGTTTCCGTTAACATACCAAATCTTTCAAGATACATAGCCATTTATTATAGTTGTCCTTGCTTTTTAATAGCAACCAGTCTGAATGGAAAGACAGCAGCGAAACGTTTGTGCTTCTTTCCTTCAGCTTCTGTTGCTTTTACCCACAAACTTAATGGATCAAACTTCCCTGGCCTTTCTTTAAAATCCAGAGGCTGTGGCATTATAAACGATATGTAATCACTCCAGAGTCTCAGTTTTATTACATTATGTTATGAGCATTTCTGGGAAATGGGCAAAGCCCTCACTGAGACCTCATCTGGTAATTTGGCTTACATATATATTACTCATACCGTCCCTCCACAGCGACTCTCATTCCTTGAACCCTTTTACAAATGCAGGTAACCTCTCAGTCCATCAACTTCCCATTGCATCCCTTCAGATCAAATGACAGTTAAACAAAACAAAATACACATTCCTTCATCTGTGTTATTTGTTTAATAAAAGTTAAGAATTTACATATATCTGCAATGATCACACTGAAACTAAGGAGGCTCTGGTGTGCCAAAGTGGCAATCGGAAGCTCTGATATCCAGTGACAAGTGTACATTCAGTGACAGGCCAGGCACTTGTTGAATGTGACCTGCGCTAAAAAAGATAGCATTTCTCTCTGGCTATAGTGAGCAGAGGTATTTGGCACAACCTTACGAACACTTTTCAAGAGCAAACGTTGTCTTCGCTTATAGATCCACAGCGGGCCGAGGTGTTTAAAAACATTTTTTCAACTTGTCGTGCGTCACTTAAACCCTCGGGCGAGGAGACCAGGCCACCGTGGTTTCTCCTTGATAATGCTACAGACAGAGCGGGTAAAAAACACTTTGTGCACAACATTTTGTCGGACAGGTACTGAGAATTACATGTTCAGAGATAAAAGCCTTTATCCACCCCCTCCTGTCAACATCACACAACATACATCTTCAGAGATTTAATCCTATTGTCAGAACTGCAGCGATTCACTTTTTAGACATTTCAAGTTTCAAAGAATTATTCAGTACAGGCTCTGTTCAGATGGATTTTCTGCTAAATTAGTAGAAGAGATCTCCAGAAGCCTTACACAAACCTCCCCCCAGGACAGGCATATGGTGGACTATACGGCTACAGTATATGATAATATATCCTATTATTACTGTCACTCAGTTAAATGTGTTGGCAGCGAGATAAATGTGATAAGCAGCATTTTGAACAGCAAGTAGGTGTTTATGATCTAGTACTACTATTCAAAGTCTAGCATATTGAAAAAATGTGGAAAGTTGAATTTTAGATAATGTATGTGGGGCTGGTTATTATTATTAATTTACCACTTTTTTCTTTTTTTCAACCAATTCACTTTACCATTGATATAACAAGAGAGAAGCAGGAAATGATTACATTTGAGAAACTGAAACATTTTTCCTCGGCTTAAACAATGAACCAATTACCAAAATTGTCATTGATTAATTTTCGGTGCATAGTTGACTTGTCATTTCAGCACTACATGAATAATGCATTCAGATGTCCAAATGTGATGCTGACTGACTTATTGCTGTTCAGAATGCCCCTGGCCTCCAGACACGGGGCTGGACGCCTCCTTTGGTGGCAACAAAATGTGGTTTGGGTGCCTGAACTGGGTTGGACTTGAGTGGGGGCAGAGAGGCAAGGATACTGAGCTCAGGAGCGCTCTGGAACTGCTTCGCCATCTGGAGCCCACTGTTGTACGATACTGGAGTGTAAGGTTTAGGACCTGAGGGTGGAACAGGTTGTGGAATAGGGGCAGCAGCGAATTTTGGGAGGCTTGGCAGTCCACCTGGTTGGGAGGGAGGTGAAGCTGGAGTTAGAGCACTGGCTGGTGCTGGCATCATTGGCTGGGCTGGAGTTGGAGTGAAAGGAACAGGAGTTGGGGAGGTCATGCCGGAATGAGTCAAACGTTCTCCTAGGGTTGTGGCTGAACGGGGAGCAATGACTTTGGGAGCCAGAGAGGGAGCTGACATTGGTGTAGGTGTGGAGAATCGCTTGATCTCGTAGACCCGGGCTGTTTTGAGGGGGATCTGCCTTGGTGTGGTTAATGAACTGCCCACCATTGCTGTTTTGTAGTCACCCTGCTGGGCCTGGTAAGACGGCATGGCTGATAGATTAGCAGCACTGCCCCCATAGTTGAACATGGCTGAGTTAAGCTGATAGGGCTGCCTTCTCATGAAATCCAGAGCCTTGATTCCCTCTCTTTGGGAGCCTCCTCTGTTGTCTGGCTTGTTTTTGTCCCTCTGAGGCCCTATAGGGATGGAGGGGGCCAATAGGGGGTTGTACCCGATGGGTGGAGGTGCGCGGACATTTGGGGAGTATTTCCATTGAGAGGAAAGGGAAGAACTGTTGGAGGAGTCAAGGGTTGGGGCTGCACTATGCATTGCCACTTCCTGCTGGTAATGGGTTTCGGGAGGGGTGTCCACTACATACATACCCATGCGGCTCTGCCTTTTGGCAAACAGTTGGGCACCCTTTCCTCCTGCGTGAAGAATCTGTGGGGCCTCATGGATTACCCGAGGCTTTGGTGCCACTGGGGGAGGCCCCTTTGCAGTGCCACCCTCACCACTCATGTCTTCCTCTGCATCATCATAGATAACGTCATCCGGTGGTTGGCCATATTTGAATCGGACAGACCTGTCATCCAGGTTCTGCACCATAGACAACAGTTCAGGATTGGGGGAGTTCTTTTTAACATCTGGCACATTGAACATTGGCTTAGGTTTGCCACTACGCCGTCGAGCGTCATGTAAGATTCCTGTGCGACCTCCTGGACCAGGAACAGGGGTTGGAGCTACAGCTTCAGGCTGGGAGACCACTGACACTTGAGCTACAGGTGCTGTGCGATATTGCGATGGCTGAGCAACTGGTGCTTGAAGTTGCGGCACAGGGGGAACAAAGTCAGCCGAGCCAGGGATTTGGGACAAAAGAGGAACTGGGGCTGAAACCACTGGTGCTTGTGGAGCTGGCGGCATCGTCATAGACATTGGAGTCACAGCTGCAAATGGAGCCTGATGAACAGTAGTTATTGGTGGTGATGACTGCATTGTCTCTACCGAAGCAGAGAGGGCTGGAGGGTGATAGGCAACAGGTGCTTCTGGTGCCATTGCCAAGGGACCTGGACGTACAGCGGAAGGTGGTGAGAGCACTGATGGAGGACCTTGGGGTATCTGCGAAGTTATTGGTGCATTAATGGCTATTTCAGAGGCAGTGGAGAATGGTGGTGGCACAACAGCTGCTGAGGCAGGTCTCTGAGACGTCTTTGTGACTGGTGGTCGGAACGTTACAGGGGCAGTGGCAGCTCGAATGCTGATAAAACCAGGTGTAAAAGGACGTGCCGTTCTGTTGAGAACATTACTTGAAGGCAGCTCTGGTAATGGCGTTTCAGCTGGTGGATCAGGACTGGTCAGAACGGTCACTGGGACAGTGGCTGGTTTTGGTGCCACAGCCGGAGGTGACATCACCACGCTAGCTGTGCTAACTGCAGAGTAGCATAGGTCACCATTAGCAACTCTATTGGCTGCAACAGCCACTGAACCTGGAGCATGAGATAGCAGTGGCTGTGTAGGGCCAGGTGGTATTATTTGCTGAGCCTGCAGGTTTGGTTGCATTTGTGGTTGTATTTCTGGATGCAACTGATACATCTGGTCCTGGACTTGAGTTTGTGGAGGTGCCTGAGGTTGTGCCGCCTCTACCTTCTTGGCATGCTCCGCAGCCCTCTTCCTTTGCTGCTCAAACAACTGGGCGCCTTTGCCTGCAGTCTCACTTAAGCCTGGACTTGCAGCATCCTCTGCTCCATCCCCACGGCCTTCAGTGCCTGCAGTTGCTCTCTTCTCCAGCATATCCAGGTAGTCACTGTCCCAAGTTGGGTCAGGAACTGCCGAGAAGCCATCCTCATCAAACTCTGATTCGCTACCAGGGAATACCCCATCCTCTTCTTGTGAATCGTGGCACCTGTCTTCATCGACACTACCAAAGCTGGTGAGGGTGTACTTCTTGGAGCGCTGCCTTCTCTTTTTGAACATCAGCACCCCTTTCGAGTGAGGGTTTGGAGCATCTGTGAGTAGGGATGCAATTGTTCGACACTTGCTTTTGGCTTCCTTTACATTCTTGTCTTGTTGTGTATCCCCTCGGTTTAGCTCTGCAGGGTATGAAAGTCATAGCTATTAGGAATTGTTGCACAGTGGGGTAACCTAGATAGTACAGTCAAAGATTTCTAAATAACAAAGAAATGACTCTGACATAATCCACTAAACTTGCCCTGACCGCCATGCCTTCAGCAGGCATCCATCTCTTAACTCGCCACAGGAGCACTTCCGGAAAAATTCCAGGCAAGCCTTCAGCTTCTCACATTAGCTGGGGTGAAGGATAAATTTGCACATTATTAGGCTTATGTGTTCTGACATCTAACTTAAATGAAAATATTTGCCAGCTAGTGGAAAGTTGCAAGTTGTAGGTGACTGGAAGGAGAACTTCAAAGGGCAGCCACAACATATCCTTTAACTTGTTATGGTATTAAGCAGATTATCAAAGACAACCGCATTCTGCTACCCTAATATGAACTGCCACGTGAAGGGAGTTCTTAATTTGTCTAGGACAGGGCTCCTAAGTAGGACATTAGAACCTGCAGTCGGGGATGGCAAGGGGGATTTACAAGAGTAAATTTATTTAAGTTCTTAAAACAGCCTGATGACTCCAAGTAGCTCAGCTCTGTCCTCTTCCTGGGCTTATTATGGATGATGAACAGGATGACAAGTCGTAGGAAAGAATGCTTGGTAGGTGTCCGCGTTCTTTATGTGTTGTTGCATCACTGTACTGTGACAATTTTTAACTCTTCACTATTTACATTAAGACATAACTACTTGATTTCTCAGTATGATATAGGACACTGTTACATTTTTGGCACACAAACAGTCTTTAACTGCAACTTCAAGTGACTATTCCCTTTCATAGTTGCGGTATACAATCACGTCAACCAGCTCAGTGCAAGCACATCTTTAGCTCTTGGTGTATTTTACCAAAATGCAACTACATCTGTCATTGTGGTGAGAGCCAACCTTTGTCTTACCAACTTTTGCACTTGTGCTCTTTCATAAGTCTGATAAAAAAAAAAGCGAAATGAAAGGATAGCAAGAGAAATGTTTAGAGAAAGAAGAGAGGAAGGGAAGAGCAGGGAAAATGAGAGGTTCCCCACTTTGCTACTTGACCCCTAAAAGCAGGTGCAGATGCTTTCAGTGCTCACAGATGGACTGCTGGGGTTTTTACACACATAACTGGAGGTAAATATAGTAAAGCATACTGGTGTGCTCTGTTTAACAGGCTTAGGTTGCATTAACATAAACTCACACTGAGCTTTTAACCCTAAAGAAAACTGATGGATTGTTTCTTAGTTGTGGTGACTGACTGTTAGATTAAATGACGGAGATACAATTGTGTTCTTTATTAAGATTCATATCAATATTATAACACAATATTCTACACTATTTCTGTTGAACGTATTATAATTGTTGGCCTCAGTGTAATTTGTCAGGCATCTGGGGGCATAAAAGGGTATTTACCAGCTTTAAACTGGGCTCTGTCTATCTGTGGAATGAGCATCGTAAATACATATTTTGAAACAGGGACTTGCTTAAACTGTCTAATGGGCTGTTTTAAAGCAGCAGCTGACTTTTATGGATGTTTAGCTTAGAGATGAAATGTGAGGAAAGAAGCTAGTGTAGATGTTACTACTTTGGTGTTCAAGCTAAGACTTAAGTTTACTATCAAACCTACAAATATCTGTTTTATTCACGCCGGCACATAACGCTGTATGTTTACAGTGAGAACTTTCTTTCCCCAAGAATGGGAACGAGGTCGATCGGCTGAAGTGGCACTTCAGTGAATGATTTCTGTGCTGCAAAGCAGATGGCACATAGAAATAATGCATAGAAAATATGACAAATAATCACATGTGGAAATAAGCACACATGAGGCAAAGAACAGCATCAAAAAGAGCATCCTTGAGAAAAATATGAATCTGTATCTGCTGTGAGAGCTAACAACATGATGAGGTTTATTTGTTTGACTCTTGAGCCATCTCGTGGTCTTTATCAGGAATGTAAACAGAGCTCATGTGAAGCACAAGCCCAAACCAGTGCTGGTCCTCAGCTGTACTTACTGGCTTGCTTGGCCTTTTCCATGTAGGTTGTTGTCAGCTCCTCATCAATGGGTTTATTCACAGGACCCACCATGGGAATAAGTTGGCTGCGGGAGCCCAGCATTAGAGCCTCCTTCGCCCTCTCAGGAGATACCAGTGGCACGTTGGCTGGCTCGAGAAAGCCACTGTCCTCCTCTTGCCCTCCATCCCGTGGCCCCTGGTCATCTGCTGAGGAGATGATGGAGGAGGTCTCAGTGGACGTCTGGGAGGACCACATTCCTGGACCAGGAGGTTGGTAAATCACCTCCCTTCTCGCCACTCCCGGTAGCCCCCCTCCTCCACCTCCATCTCCCCCATGTCCATCCAACAAACGGGGATAAACATGTGCATCTGGCGCGCTGTCGTAGCCGCTCATCTCCGACGTCTCCCCGCCTTCAGGAGAGGTTCGTCCTGTCGGTTTCCCGGGGTTGGAGTTGCTGGGGCTGCGGCGCTTCTGTCGGCGCTGCCTCTCATAACCAGCCACGTCTGCGTCACTGTCAGTCTCACCGTAGTAGGCTTCACTACCAGGTGGAGACGTCAGGCCGCTGGTTAGGGAGGAGCGACTACGGTGGACTTCACGTACAGGTGCGTGGTGGGGGTGAGTAGGTGACATGGCTCGCAGTGCTGCCCGGTACTCTTTGTCTATACGGGGGGATGGAGCACGGGTCACAAGCACCACAGACTGGAAACCAGCAGGCGCCCTGCAGACAAGTAAAGAGATTAAAATTGGATGTCATATGAGAGTCTAATCTGATGTAGATTTGATCTATCCACAGCACAAGACACAAAAACAGTTGGTCGTCCGAATGTTTTCTGGTTTATTTTGTGAATGTTATACACAGCAGGATTAAGTCTGTCACTGGTGGATAATCCATTACAATAGGTTCGTGGACCTAGTAATTCTTTTGTCCCTCTGACCTTTTGACCCGGATGTGTAGTATCCCAGGGGTGCTGTCGATGAGGTTCATGGCCTGAGCGTGGGAGAGCGTTCCACATGGCTGTTCGTTGATGGATACCAGCTCATCAGCCTCCCGTAGCCCAGCCCTGCACGCCTTACTGCGTTTACGCACCTGCACAAGGAAAGGAAGTTTTAAACACTTAGACGGACAACAAGAAGTTACACAGTTGTTGCTCTTTGATGGGTCATTATGAGCAAATCCAGCACAACTCTCAAGTCCTTCAATAGACATCCAGGTCTTTCACGTCTCAAATTAAGTGTCGAGGTCTTCAGGGCAGGTCTTTCATATCTGAATGCTGACAATGAAATTGAGGACTATACATACTTACCTGTTCTGCTTTAATAGTTTATGTCATAGTGTGCAAGCCTAGTAATTAAATATTAAAGTTGTGCAGCTGTAAATAGCCAGCCTGATAGTGTCATACTTATATTTTATTGTTCTGTGATTTTATACTGTCAAATATAACTTGCAACTTCAGGCCAAGTCAGGTCCTGCAGCTTTGGTTTAAGTTATGACGCACAGTTTACAGTACTAAAATAGGACACCAGCATTTTTATTGCTCTCTTTCCCTGCTCCAATAATAGCGTATTCCTAAGAATTGTATATTCAGCTTTTGTAAGGACAGACACAGAGCCATGCTGCTGTCTTGTCTTGGTTTGTAATTGTGACTGACACAGACCAGATTTTGTCCTGACAGCTCGATCTTGCTGCGGACGTATGCCACATATTACAGCTCGAGTGGAGCACTCATACACACTTTAGCGGGGAAATGCCAGCCAGCAGCCATCTTCATTTGGTGCTTTGCTATTTGTGCCCGAAGTCTGTCAGGACCGTGGCGTTTTGCCCACCCTAAATTGCCTCAGGTCTTTACAAGCCATGTCAACATGTCGCACAGTAAATTCAAAGCAGATGTCAGAAAATGTTCACATTTCCAGCGACAATGGCTGCGGCGTTGATTCCATTCTACGAGGGCATGCATTAAATGAATGTTGTTTATTAGAATTCACAGATAAGGAAGCGTTACTTTCATTGCCCTAATTAGTTTTCTTTCCAGCTATTCTGGTTTGCCTGTAATGAAATCCCATGTCCCCATTTAGCTAAGCCTTTCAAAGTGGCCTGTGCCTGCTTGTGGCACAGGATGTCAGTTATTCATTCAGTCAGTCACCTTGTGGCTGCAAATCATAACAGTTATAATACCCTTACATGATAGCACACACACACACTGCATGGGCTGGTACAAAAATACACATAAAGTCGTATAAATAAACATACAGACACGCATATGCAGGCGCGAACCCAGCAGCGACACACCGGCTCTGTCAGTGAACCTTCACGCTGCTCCACCTGTTGGGAACGATATAGCGCGAGACCTGACAAGATTACGCGTTCCTGCTCTCGGGGGTGAAGGAGCACGCTGCTTTGGATGGTCAGACAGAAACAGCTGTCCGCCATTGTAAAGGTGACTCGGTGTCCCGTGGCCAACTTGTGCAGCATAGTGTTCTGCAGAAGTCAGGAATGTAGGGCTATTGTTGAAAAAAAATATTCAGCTGCTGACTATTGTTTGTTTAACATTGTTTAAAATATGATTGTTGACCTAGAAATGCACAGAAGACGTTTTCCTTATCTTTACTGGAACATAACTGCATAATCAGTAATGAAGGAAGTATTTAGTTTTACTGAATCAAAAGTAGAAATAATACAGTGTAAAAATACTCCTCCTTAAGTACAATTACAAGTAAATCTACAAATGCATTGCATGAAAATGTACTTAAAATACCTAAAGTACTTAATATGTGGAGTTGTCCATTTGATCATCAGATAAATTACATCATTAGATTTTAATTATTCATTCAACAATATGCAACACTAATTTGAATTATTTTATATGATGCAGGGTGGCTAAATTTTGTATTAATAATCTGAAACAAATGAACTAGTGAATAAAACTTTAAAATAAATGCAGTGGAGTGCAAAGTGCAATATCTGCCTCCATGATATTGTAGAGTAGAAGTAGAAACAACATGGAGGCACTTAAGTACAAGTACATTAAAGTTGTGTTTAATTACAGCACGTGAGTAAATGTACTGAGTTACATTCCACCAGGATTATGACATATATGATGGAAAACACTGCTTGTCTTGCATGTTTGAGGTATTTGAAAAGATGCAGAACACAGAAAAAGGTGCATACAGTGCTCAGTTATTTCTGTTGCTTCTTTTTCAGTCCCAAATATGTGAAAGAAAAATCATTAAAAACTCACCAAAAACACATTTAAAAAAAAAAAAATCTTATTTTTGACAAAGTTCAAAGGCAAAGATACTAAAATCATCTGACTAATTTTTGGGAAAATGTGCCCAAAAGGAACAGGGCATAATTAAGTTTTACTGAGCTGCTGGTACGAGTAGATGGAGAATCCTGTAGGTTATTTTGTCGTACTGTATGAATATTAGCAAAACAACAAGAAAAATAAATTCTAGATTACTCAGTGGAAGTTTTATTTAAAAAAATCTGCACTGATGGTTTCAAGTCGGTTTCTCTCTCTTAGTTATTGATCCAACAACAATACGACATAAAAAAAGAGGTTTAACAATCAGGATTTCCGCTCCACGTGAACCTGCACCAAAGAATCGTACATTCTTCCCTGTGCAGCAAGAAACCGATACATACGTGTTCAAAAATAGTGTATGAGGTTCATTTTTGAGTACTGAGCTGAAACCCACACCTTGGCTGACCCCAAGACCTGCTGCTTCTTGGCTATAAATAGCCACCTGGAAAAGTACTTATGCTCAGTCGACGATTATTGAAGGAGCGTGTGGTTTGCGTGATATGCATGTAAATGTATGCATGCATAATGTATGTGTGCAGGTGTGCTAAAATCTGAACTGTCATGTCCTGAAGTAAGAATTGTTTATATAAAGTTATGATAGAAAAAAAGGCTGCTCCGTGCTACTTTAACCAGGACAAATTTGGCAGAGTAAGCAGCAAACCACTATGGATTTTGATTTTACATTCACAGATCATGATGACATGGAGGAGATTTTAGACAAATAGTAAACGGTAATCTGTGTGACGTCACAAAATGCAACCATAACTCCACCTGAGTGCCTTTTTTCTCCCAAAAAAGTTCGCGTCAGCATTTTCCTTTGCAGGTGCTATTTTTTTCTGCTTGCACGCCGACTTAATCTTTTTATCCAGTATATGTTTCCCTTTGGATATCAAGCTTTCTGAAGTGAATATTGAGACTGAAATCTGGACCGCTTCAGTTGTGCCAAGTGTCGGCACAAAATTCTTGCCTGTGCAGAATTTGCTCTTGGAGGGTAAAACGAGCTGAGCAGCTTAATTGGAGGATCTTAAGGTTTAAATAGTTCGTTTACTTTCTGTGAATAGCTTTTTTAAGGAGAGCTAGAAATAAAAATAGCCTGTAAATATCACATAGTAATAGAATTTTAGACTTTTATATCACAGATACCAGTGTGGCTCGAATCTGGCCTGAACTACAGTGATTTCATGAACAAAATTCAATCTTGATTTTGTGATATTTGTTGCTTTTCCACGTGGTTTTCATCGTTACAACAATGTTTGAAGCTCAGGTAACCTGCCAGTTTGAACGTGACCAAGCATGGCTGCAGTGATTTAGGTGTCTTACTGAAGTGACAATGTAGTTCAATGCAAATCGTGGTCATGGGTGAATGGTGTTTAGTGTCCAAAGGCTCCTCACAATAAAGACAAACTGACAGTCTTGCACACAATGACCTTAACATCCACAAATCTCTGGTTCAATGTGCTCAAAGATCCACTCAAAAGCTGTAAATGACAAGAAGGCGTGACCACTTTTTTTTAATACAAACCAAGAAACCAATGAAGACAAGTGTCAGACTCCTGGGTCGATGTGGCTCTGGTCTGACTCTGAGCTTTATGCTGTTTAATGTGAGCGGCAGCACTCGGTGGGAGATATGTGCCCTACATTCCCAGCTCGACGTACTTGTAGTTTAAAGTTCATCCCATCAATCACCGGCACACCTCTGCATGAAAACCGTTCTCAAACAGGATTATGACTCATATTCAGGCCCCAAACCAACGTGCACGGCAGCCAATGTTCCACCTCTGCTTGATTAACATCTCCTTAAATAATGTTTCTCTTCTGTTTAGCTACTGAATCAGTCGTCTGCTTTCTCCCGTTCACTCAGCTAACTGAAACGCTGGCTCCCGTCCAACCCGTTGAGCGACCCGCCTTACCTTCGCCACCTGTAGCGGTTTCTGATGTTCCACGCCTCCCTGGAGACGAAACCCCCACGGCGCTCCACCGGACAACGTAATTATCACTTCCTCTGCCACCATTGTTCTGCTTTTTTTCCCCCGCTTTTCTTCTTTTTTTCTCGATTATTTTCCGTTCTTCTTTGATTTTTTTTTTTTCTGTTTTAATCTAGGGGCCCCCCTTCAGTGCATTGGCCCCATGGTCAGCAGTCGGGGGCCCCTCGGAGAGCTCTGACCTGCTCTTCGCCTGCCACACTGTCCGGGCGCAGACTTCCCTCTGAGCTCCGAGGCCGACGCTCGCTCACACCTGAACACACACACATGCACGCACACACATTTCTGAGCGCCCACCCTTACCCAGAGTGGGCCGACCATCGTAGCCAAAGGAAAGAGAGAGTTAGAAGGAGGGAGAAATATGATGGGAGGTGGGGAGGGGGTCTGTGTCTGCTTACGCTGAGGAATGCCTGCCCCAAATGAGCGAGGGGAGGGTCCAGCTCAACACTTGTCCTGTCACTCAGACCTGTGCCACTGGGTTGCTGATAGCTCCTCCAAAAATAGGACACCACCACCACCACCACCACCTCCACCACCTTCGCTGCTTTGCTTGCTCCTCTGCAGGCCCGAGGCGAAGTTAACATTCAGAACGTCCAAATGGCACTGTTTCATATCTAGCATTGAGGTCATTAGTAACCTTTAGTAGGGTCACAGCCAGACTCTCGAATCGCAAGGCAGAACGTTGCCACGATAGGACACGCCGCTCCTGATTAATTACTTTGAAATAGCTTTCGATTTATGCTAAGGGGTGCTGATAAAAATCAGCGCCGGAGACAATGAGCGGACTGACTTTGGTGCATCCTGCCAGCTCCTCTTGGATCTGGAGACATTCCAGGCTGTCATCGTCGGGCCTTTGGGATAAATAATTTTTGCAAGCTCTGGATGAATAGCCTGCATTAAATATGTCTGAGGTTTTTCACAACGATTTCACAGCGCTGACTGAATGATAAAGTGCGTACTTGTGCAGAAATGTAAATACAAGAAAAACAAATGTCATTCACTTCAACGAGCATCTTTCACAATTGGATCTCACATTCTTACACCAAGCTCTTGGATGTGCTGACAGCCGTAAGAGACGTCAAGAAAGACCTTTAAGAACGAACTAAGAGACTGTAGCGTTTCCGTGAAGCTGCATAAAAGCACAGTCATGCTTTGGGCTTTTATGCTGATATCAGGCAGGTGCAGTGGTTACCTCGTTCACCTGCTCAGTCAGCGTGCATCTGCTGATTAGCATGAGCTACAACATGCAGCTGAGGCTAATGGGACGTCATTAGTTTTTTTAGTATTTATTGACATTTCAACCCAGCTTAACCTGACAGATTACTTCTTCGGGTTTTTAATAAGAGATGTTGGATCTTACTGTCATCGCAACATCTGTGAGAGTGACAGAAAAAAAGAGCATTTCAAGATATTAAACTGGATCGGGCTGAGATGAGAAGAGGGCAGTTTCTCAGGAGCTGAATTTAAGAACTTTAAGAAAATAGTCTCATATTGATGTTAAGTTGAACTCATTTATGTCTGTGGGATTTTTCTATTCCTCTGTGTCAAAGTCGAGAAAGACGAATCACTTTTATCTTAAATTAAAATGTTAGAAACTTAATTTATGAATCAGTGTGACTTTGGGTCTGTTTCCATTTGTTTCCCTCCTGGTCTCAACTTAAACTTCAAACTGACTCTATCTTATTCTAATTAAAGCCCCGGAGCCAAAACAGACTGAAAAACAAATCCAACAAACACAAGGAGAGTCTCAGTGGACGCAAACTTATTTAAATTATGTTGTATTTTCCTTTGGGGGCACTGACAGGCATTTAAACCTGTTGATAGAGGCTGAACGATCCCCTTGCCAGACGGGCAACGCTGCTATTATCAATGCTGCAGGAGGTTACCAATGATAGCTGCTCCCTTTGGCAGCTTTGCTCTGCAGCTGTCTCCAGGCCTCAGGATAGTAACCAAGATCAGTCCTGGGTCAGACGCTCAGAAAAAAAATGTCACCCTCTCCTCTTGGAGATGGTGTCATACCTAACGGATCACTGCAGTTAAAGTGAGATTTTAACAACTCAGATTAAACGGATCCAGTTTTTATTTGGTGTCTCCTTCACAGGGAAAGTGAGGTATTTGACAGATATCTGAACAAACACGCAGTTGAGGAGTTATAGCTCAGTTGTGCCAGTTACTCCCCCTAGTGGTTAAAAGCAGACCTTATGTTGGCCTCTTACTTTGCAGTAATGTCACCATTTTAGGGGTAATTTATGCCTCTTTTGTGGTTAAAAATGGCGAACTTTAGGTCACTTTACACTGCATTTTGTAACACATTACAAGCAGCTTTGTAGCCAAACACAAATCACATTTAATTAAAATATTTTAGGATATGAAGAAACCACTCTGAAACCATGTTTAGTTACACTTTATTATGTTATGAGTTTTATCTAAATATATATATAAATTAACAGAGTCTAGTTTGTTGCTGAGACATTTCTGACTAAACCGAGTCAAAATAATAAATAAAATTAATAATAATAATAATACTGTCCCGTTTTTGCTGAGAGAGACGTGAGTGGATGTGACTTTGTGAGTAATCAGATAATTCCTGAAGACTCTTCAAACAATCTTCTGCCAGCAGAGGACCAAGAAATGTATGAATACAAAAACAATGAGTGATATTAAATAACAAGCGTGTTCAGTTACACATAAAACATTGTGCTATGTGGTGAGTCTTGTCAAGCTGCAACGTTGTGACTTTAGGCCCGCAACAAGTCAGGACGAGGTCCACTCGGTCACTCTGCCCAGGACAGAAGTTGGCTGTCTTTCAATAAAAGTAAAAAGGTCAAAATCCATATGCAACAACGTGGTTGCAAGGTTGAACTTCCCCCTGTAGTTCCATCTATATATATATATATATATATTAATGTTTTTATGTATTCCTCTGCTTTTATTGTGTTGTGGTAGGAAAATGAATTAAAGTGGCATTTAAACAAAGACACAGGGATTGCTGCTTTAACTCAGGAAATGGAGGAAGTGGTGTGTTTTTTCCTGTGGACATGGGAGAACTGTTAAGTGAGGCAACAGTTTTGTCCCTCTCATGTTCCCCCTGTTAATTAGCTTGTGTGTTCCTATCTCTCCTTTCAAGGTTTTCTCTTTCACTATGTCATTGGTGTGTCTTATTTTCTCATCCTTTTCAACCATGAAGAGCTTTAGACATTTTCCTCTGTTCTCTCGTTCTCGTTTTTCTATTTAATGACTTCTCAGCTGGCCAGCTTGCCTTCCCCCGGAAGACTTTGACAGACAGATTTGTTGAGTAGCAGCAGGCACAGAGTCGGTGCCCTTTAACTGTGGCATCTGTGCCAGGATGGCAGACATTGCCAACCAGCCGCTGCCAGAACCTGCAACCCAGCTCGGATAAGGTGAAAATGAGAGCGCCATACTCATAAACATGAAGTAAAGAGAGCTTTTAGTGAAGCCAGTGCATGAAGTGTATAAAAGAGTAATTAGATTCAATCAAATAAAATAAAAAATGCAGAAAGCAAGATGACTATTCTAAACATTATTGTAATTTAACTTTGACTTGGTTCTTTTAAGCACGATTATGTTTAGACTGCATGGCAGAGGCGCTAATCAAAGGGGATAGCTTGTGTTTTATAAGAGAGAACGCAAACATAAAAATTTAAAACCTTGTAGTTTTTGAAATGCTTGCAATCTGCCCTGTGCACATTAATAATGTATTTGCAGAATGAGATAATTTGCACTGTGTTGCTTTAAAGAGCAGATTGTTCTCGACGTCGTACTGTAGCCTTTAGGAAAAAACCCGCTTTACACGACCCCAGAGAGTCTTACGTTTTTAAAATGTCATGTTAGAAAGGTTGATTTGCCTTTGACAGAGGTTTAATTCTGACATTTGGGAATATGTCTTAAAACAGTAGCTTTATATCTCAGGTCCAAAATCGGGAAGATTTCTTCTTGGAATCAGTTCTTTTCTGATTCTGGCCTCATGGTGCAGATGTTTGGGTTGTTCAGACGACTTCTCTCCTTCCTCTCGTAAATGTTTGATCACATTTTTAATCTCAAGTTTTAAGTGCATTTATCTTTACTCGTTTTATTTTTAGTACTGTCTTTTTAGCTCTATCTTTTTAATTGATTTGATCGTTTTGAATCTGCATTTCTTACTTTATTAAATTTCTTTAGAAGTGTACAATTATGAAATGTGTATATTTTGATAGAAAATGTACGTCTATTGTTAAGTGTTGTTGTTCATCTTATAATGAACTTTTACACGATTCATTTTTGGACATAACTGTATATTTGTTGGGCTTAATATCACACCCAGTGCTCACTCCTCCAATTGCATAAATAAGTTGGCTCTGAGTTGGTTGCTAGCCCTTTCTTCAGGTGTGACTCTACCTAACACAAGGACGTGTTTTAATGTAGTGTGTGAGATGTGTGTTTACAAAAAAGTCACTGCACTAATTGCACCCATTTGAATTTTCCTTCACACTAACCGACTCTTTCGTTCTCTGCCTCCAGCCTCTTTCCCCATCATACGCTGAACTCCCGACCCCAGTTTGTGACAGACTGCGCTGCATCCCTCCCAGGACTCCCACCGTCCTGGGAGGGATGAGTCCTGTATCATCTGCCTCATGACACAGATGCGGCGTTGCGCCAGGTGGCCCCTCATAACCTCCGTGTGCTGTCACCAGTGAGTCACACACACACACCTCCAAACTCGCACAAAACAATGGTGCAGACCATCTGTCTAAAAAATGTGTTATACAACAGGTCATTCTAACTAAACTCTGATTGGTCAAAGACAAAAACCAGACCGATGGTTCTTTTCACTGGTTGCTATGCTGGTCATAACATGATCCGTCATGCTTTCATATGTAAGTGCCACGCTGTGTATGGAAGACTGAGTTTCAGGTGATAGAATCTGGAAACTAACTACTGCATAAATTATCATTCTCGACCAGTAATTATGTATTAATGTTCTTAGTGACCCCTTGAACTTCTTATCTAGTTGTGCAGTATCACCATTACACTCATAATCACAATAACAAAGAGCATTTCCTCAGTCTTTTTTGGCATCGATTGCATTGTTCGTGCCTTCTTTGGAACTGCACAGCGGGTTCCAGATCACGCTGTGTTAAAGCTTAATGCTAACATGAACCTGCTGCTCAGTAGCGATGCCAACAATAGCCATGCTAATATTCACCAGTTTAATTTAGCATATTAGCATTAATTTAGCATGCTAACCAGCAAAGAAGAGAGGAGAAGTAATTACTTTTGCAGGTGTGTAAACAATTCAACTAATAATTTCTAAGACATGTTTTAAA